CATCACTTCTTCACATCACATTCTCTCTCGTAGATTTATCTAATCACTTTCTCTTCATGTAGAACGAGGGAATACTGTTTCGGGGTTGAGTGGGACAGTTTCTGGGAAGCGGGACATGGGATTGGCCGAGATGTTCATGGAATTGGGAAAAAAAGCGAGAAAACAATGATTGGTGGAGAAAAGGAGAAGATGACAGAGAATCTGTCCAAAAAAAGTATTTTTCAGGCAGCCTAGTCTGGTAATTTAGGAGCTCCCCTTTACAAAACCCAGCTCACACAAAAGTTTAGGAAGTGACGCCCTGCTATGCCCAGGGGCTTGTCCTTAGATGTGCTGTGTGTATATTAATATGCATGAGCACACCTCACATGAATATGCATAACATGTTACATCACATCGAGATGAATTTACATGAGCTTGTTCCGTGTCACACCTAGGTCCATCAGAACGGTGCACTATACTGTCATACAGTTCAACACAATACCACCAGATCTCAATACAAATCAACTCCTGCCACCTGAACACGAATGCCATATTCCGAGCTGTTCGGGTCACAACGGACACATGGCAATCCAGAATGTTGGCAACCCTACGTTAACACGACCGCTGCAGTGTCTAGAGGCCACTATATTAATGACACTGTTGAAAAGAATCCGATATTAATTCACATCGTGAACATTAATTTCAATAATCTGTCGCCTCAAATGGGCAAAGGGGTGGGGGATCATAATATCTCTAATACATATTCTTAGTTTTTTCGGTAAAGTCACGTTGAAACGAAACAACAAAATAACAAAATATATATAAAACAATAAAAAAATTATCACGACGTTTCGACCATAACTCAAACGGTCATCATCAGGTGTGTCGGTTTGCATAAATTTATTTTGAAAACGGCATATTTATTTATTTATATATATATATTTAAAAATAACGTTTGCGTCACGCGCAACGATTGGCAGTTTGCCCAGGACTAGTCCATCTATTTTTTGAAAAGAGGAGGGGGGAGACGAAATTTGTTTTTATGTATGCTGTCTGAAAGCCACTGTAAGCGTGAACAATCAATCAAGAACTGAAATGATTTATCAAATCTTTCCAATGATTGCTAAGATAGAATCCATCTTCTCGGTTGAAATTGTCTCTGTGCTTGTATATGTGGATAGCCTCATGAACGAATCTCTCATGGAAGCCAGATGGCTTACAAAGAACCTCCGTCTTGGAAAAGTCAATGGCATGTGAGCCTACTGAATTAGAACAATGATCTGCTACGGCCGAGGTGTTGGTCCTACCGTGTTTAAGGTCTGCTTTATGTTCACGATATGCATTGGGCTCTATGATACAGAGTCTTGATGAGAGAATTCTTCTGTGATGGATGGTGGTGGGAATCCGGTTTCAGATAAGCATCCGTATGGGTAGCTTTCCTGTAGACAGAGTGGCTCATTGAACCATCAGGTCTCTTTTTAATTAGGACATCCAAAAAAGGTATCTTGCCATCTATTTCGACTTCCAATGCATATCCGACCAGGAACACATAAGCAGTGAACTCAAGCACGTACACCAAGCTCTTAGGGCTAATGGTTACTCCGACTATACAATCCGCAAAGCTATCACTCAAACCATGAAGAAGAACCCTCTTGAGGAGCCTTTCAAAACCATCACTTTACCCTACATTGCTGGGATCACAAAAAAGATCTCCAAAATCTTGAATAAACACAAGATCCAGGTCCGTTTCAACACATTACATAAAATCCGTGATCTGGTTCCGTCTGTAAAAGATGTGATTCCGGACATACAATACCCTGGTGTCTACAAACTAAGTTGCCTCTGTGGTAGTAGTTACATTGGAGAAACCAAACGCCATATCTCGGACCGCATTCGTGAACATAAAGCAGACCTTAAACACGGTAGGACCAACACCTCGGCCGTAGCAGATCATTGTTCTAATTCAGTAGGCTCACATGCCATTGACTTTTCCAAGACGGAGGTTCTTTGTAAGCCATCTGGCTTCCATGAGAGATTCGTTCATGAGGCTATCCACATATACAAGCACAGAGACAATTTCAACCGAGAAGATGGATTCTATCTTAGCAATCATTGGAAAGATTTGATAAATCATTTCAGTTCTTGATTGATTGTTCACGCTTACAGTGGCTTTCAGACAGCATACATAAAAACAAATTTCGTCTCCCCCCTCCTCTTTTCAAAAAATAGATGGACTAGTCCTGGGCAAACTGCCAATCGTTGCGCGTGACGCAAACGTTATTTTTTTATATATATATATAAATAAATATGCCGTTTTCAAAATAAATTTATGCAAACCGACACACCTGATGATGACCGTTTGAGTTATGGTCGAAACGTCGTGAGAATTTTTTATTGTTTTATATATATTTTGTTATTTTGTTGTTTCTCTTCAACGTGACTTTACCGAAAAAACTAAGAATATGAATTACTGCAGTCACGAAAGCTTTAAATAAAAATCTCTAATACATCTTATGAAATGCATATTTTCAACAAGGGGGCATCTTGTGAATGCGTCTTCTTATTTATGGCTGACGTAGATGCAGAGCAACAATTTCGTATTGTTTGGCCCTGACGAGGGCCATTGGCGTGGCTTGTGTTGTTGCTCTGGAGACCGGGAGATCAATGGTTGATGTTCGGTCGCCGCGTTGATGGCATTCGTTGTGATTTCTCACTTAACAGAGTGGGTCGCGTGAAGTCTGCCATTAGCAGCGTGAAAGATTCCTACCACCATATCGCCTCGTCCCAGATCTCATGGGATTTCTCACATTTCCCAACACTAAAAGGGACACATCAATTGCACACAGGAGCCCATTTCGCATGGCCTGAAAGCAACCCCGTTAAGGAGACATTGTTACACCAATTATTTCCAGATGCCAAAATATGGGTAAAATAATATCCAAATGTCATTAGCCCTTCTCCGAGAGTTGCAACAATGAGGTTCAAAGTACAACTTAGTTCTATATATTTCTATTTTCTTTCTCTCCCTTTCCATTGTTTTTACGTTCCCATTGATTCACAGATGATAGCTGAGGCCTACTGTTGTGCTGGTTTGCCAAGGTCTTTTGAGAGCATTGCACCCTGGTTCTTTGTCCCTTTGTACATTCATAATAAAAGGAAAAGTTACAAGTGGGTCCGTTACAGTACGTGATATTCCTCTTAGTTTGGTTGCTGATTACTAGCCTGATAAACTAAGCATACAAAATATGTTAAGTCATGACAGCAGTTGATGTAAGTTTGCTGTGAAATCAGTGGTAATTTGCCGTTTCACACTTTTGTTCCATAGGGCATTTAACATGGCTCATTGGGTGCTGGCTAACTGTAATGTTCTACATTATGCCTGAAGCAAAGCTTCTTTGTCACCATGTTACATTCTTTCCCTTGAACTGCAGATATCCAAAAGTGCTAATTAGTGGTAAATATATGAGCAAAAATTACTTTATTTAATTGTGAGAAAGAATTTTATAATTTATGGCAGTGGAACCAAAACAAGCATACTTCAAAAACAATTCTGGTTTCTGATTACGACTGGAAATGCGGGAAAAGTGCCATAATTTTCAGACGTGAAAATAGAGGGCACTGCTCAATCATTTGTGTGACAATTCCTCACCTCAAACTTTTGAAATGCAGTGAACGCTGCCGTGCAAAGTTGAGAAAAACTATGCCGTGAAATGCATAGAGCCCCACTTAAATAGTTCTAAACTTGGCATTGAGTTTCACATTGTGATTGTATTATTCAATTGAGTCGACTATTCCTGTTGTTAAAAATTTTCACAAAAAATCAGAATTGCATCACAAATTAATCCTATATCTGCATTTATACATAATTAATTTCACATTTAAGAGGAATTACTTTCGCAGACAATAGGATGAAAACCCCTCTTATCTGCAAATGTAATTATCCGTGAACACCCACCACCCCAAATTCAGTACAAAATAGAGTTCCACATCAATACGCCGTGTTAATAAATAACACGATAAACTAGTGGGCCTTTGCAGTACCAGCAGTGCACAGAATCAATGACTGATGACCTGGAACCCAACAGATTCACTGCGATCACTCGCTCGTCAGTGGCCAGTCGCATCCTTATCACCCTCTTATCAATCACTACTATCGCCATGGTCACAGCAACACATTCCTCCACACACATTGAGGAACTCGCTCTACCAACCAGACTCACGTTCATGTCACCTGTGACGTGCTCAACCACCGCACTGCAGGCCAACATAATTATCATTCTGCTTCTTCCCTCAAATTGCTCGACTTTGGAATCCCTCTTCCATTGTTTCTTTTCCCCAAGTTCGTGTAATCTTGCTCAATTCACGGAACACATGAACGCTTATCGCGAACAAATGAAAGTGCTGTTTGCCCGTGGGAGCTTGGCATTTTGAATATTTGGACCGTATGCTCAGCAACTACAGTTTTTATAATCTTACTCAAGACTAGTGTAAGTCTGTCTACTGACGATAAGCTCACTTGGTGTGTGAAAGTTATTTTGCTTGGTGGATGTGTTAAGCGCACTTCCCCTTCTCCCCCAACCCCACTCCTTTTTTCCCTTTCCTTGTGTTGCTCTTCCCTTGCCTTCCCTTCCCCATATAAAACTCTAAGCTCCCACTTGCAGTCCCTACATGAGCGGGGCATTCAGCCCAAACGTCTCCCCTTCCTAGAATCCAGGAGATATGAGTTTGGGCATCGGGCAGAAACATTTCTGTACACCCCCCCCCCCCCCCCCATTGTTACAGTTTGTGCCTTGTACCAGGCTCTTGTCAAAAATATATTGTAAGCCTTAAGTATTACAACTTCAATAGTGCTGTATTATTGCTGAGCATGTGCTCAACAACTGTGATTTGATTTTCTTTGTCAAATGTATATATATACACACACTCAAAACACGGTGCTGCGTGCGTGCGTGTGTGATGTGTGCACAATAACACCTTGCTGCCGGCTCGACTATCCTCGTTCACTTATGTGTGTGTCTCAGTGCTCGGTGACGTGCGGTGGTGGAGGTGGGAAGAGGACGCGCTCGGTGGAGTGCGGTGACGACGCTGGCGCCACCTGTGACCGTGACACGAGACCGTCCTCCGAGCGTGCCTGCAGCACGTCGGCGGCCTGCTCTATTGGCGGAAATGAGGCAAACTCCGGCGGTCCCCTGAAAAAGCAAAACAGCAGCTTCCTGGGCAAGCAATTTGACGGCCTCGCTAATCGCGGATTGGAAGGCGGCCAGCTGCCCATTACGCAAGGGACTGTGCCTTCCTTTGTTGCACCCCAAGTCTTTCCATCTAATAATGTGTCATCAGGTAATGGTGACTATTATGTGCAGCCCACTACAGAATCCATAGAAAATAGTGTCCCAAACAGCCAAGCCACACATCCCACAGTGGGCAGTTTGTATGATGACTATAATTTTATTGGTTTCCAGGAAGATCTCCTCTATGATGCTGATACTAATGACCCGATAATCAATGGCAGCAAATTACCTCTTGTCTATGACGATGAGTTACTCAGGTCATCCAACCAACCACTCGGGGGGGAGACCACAACTACTTCAGCTACATTTGCACATTCACCAGCCCATGTGGGACAAAAATGGCCGTCTTCAGAATCTAATGAATTAAACCCGACTGGCAATCCAAGCACGGTCACAGGAGGGTCAGTAGTAAATGTTGAAAAACTGCCCAACAATGCATCATCTTCCAAAAGTCAAAACAAGCAGTCAAGGAATAAGAGTGGCCACAAGAAGACAAAAACTCCCCTCGGGGCATCTGTGGCTCCCAGTGCGACGACCGCAACGTCGACGTCACTGGACACTTCGCTGCCACCCAACGGCAGTCGCTTTTCCCATCCGACTTCTTCTTCTTTCCCAACTCAGCCTCACATTGAAATCACTGTGTCAGGAGCAAAGAACATGGTCCACCCTGCTCAAGATCGAGATCTCCGCTGGGTGGTCGGCAACTGGAGTGAGGTACTGAGAATTTCTCGAACAAAATACAAAGTGGTCAAAGACTCCCCTCCTTTTCTGGCACCCTGTCGCTAGTCTCAACCACCAGCCATCATTCCTTCTAGCCACATCCTGTTCAAGCTCACTTACTTTTCTTAACAGATAGTCCCATTTAGGTTTCAAGGGAGATGATTTGTAGAGGAAGCATTCAAGGAGGAGACAGAGCAGCTGAGTGGGGGAGGTGAGTCAGATTCTGAACTTTCTGCGGCATGAGAGTCCTGATATGCGTTTGCTTGCAGTGCTCAGTCACGTGCGGCCTGGGGTCCATGTGGCGCCGGGTGGAGTGCAGCGCAGGGAAACCGTCGCTGTGCACGGCCACGAAGAGGCCCGCCCCAACCCGGCGCTGTCACGTACAGCCCTGCGCCACCTGGATCGTCGGCGAGTGGACCAAGGTGGGGCGACGGAATCGGTGCCGTAGCCTGGTTTGTACGGGCACTGGTTAGGTTTGCCACTTCTTATGTACCAAAAAACCGAGATATATCACGGGAAGACGAATATCTCACAATACCAGAATAGGGGAGAACTACATGTGAATGCGTCGTCTTTAATGGTGTATTTTTTGCACAATTGACAAAACTGGGACTTTTAATGTCCCGGCGGAAGACTTACATATTTCCCAGGACAGCTCCCTCGACGAGAGGACAATCCTGGGAAAACCAGGACCGGTGGCAACGCGAGTCCTGGTCCAAGGAATGAACCGGAGCCCCCCTGTGCACCCTCCCCCTCTGCGCTGCCCGGTGCCTGGGTCCCTGCAACCCGAGAGCCGAGTTGCACCACCTGCACAATTGATATCTGCAGCACTGGTTACAGTAATTAAGGTGGTCTGAAAAGCGGTGGGGGGTAAGTGTTTGTGGGGCGGTGCTAAGATAATTAGTCTCCCCTCTGTGCATGTGGGTTTTGCCGATCATCCGGCATAGTTAAGTGTTAAGGCGGAGGAGTTTATTGCTTTTTTTCATTCATGTATTAATTTGAGAGCAACAGGAAATGCAGCTGCTTCCCTTTGAAAGTTCTTATCACCATGGCTGCGCTCATTCTTCCCTTTACGACAGGAGATTTAACAGGCAGGCAGAGCAATGTTCAACCAACCACAGCATTGCAATCATTTTCCGTAAAGTAGGGCTGCCATCATTCACCAATGCCCCGCTGCACAGCGATCTCCAGGCACGTCAAGCAGGATAGAAAATGTTTACGTTGAAGGTCTCGCCATTTTCATCAACACGTTTTCGTCAAGGCTACACAATTAGACAACTGGGTTGTGGATAAAGCATATAAACAACCATACATTTGGTTTTATATAAAAACAAACTCAACTATATGTTTGAAAATCTTTTCAGGTTTATGGACTTTTGCCAAGGATTAAATGAGCCTTTAGAAAATGTATTTTTGTTACTTTTCGTATGCCTTACACTCTGGAGTGTTTTAACGCGAGCTATTATGAACAAGCCATCAAACCCAACCTTGCCTTAAAGGCCCGATTCATGACGGACACGACCAAATACACATTGCACGCAGGCTCTGTTGAATGCGATTCATGACGCCTCATCACGTTCCGCACATCCACATTCAATTTGACCGATTCAGAGGCAAGTTCAGCGTTTGCACGCAACAGGAAAAATCGTAATAAAAAAATATACATACTTAATAATTGTTATTATTTACACTTTTTGTAATCCAGGAAAGCCTAATTAAATATCTAGACTCCTTTTCAGTAAGGCCCCGCCAAGTGTATTGCATTAGGGGGTAATGTTGCTGTGTCATCCTAATTGAGCAATTTTGCAGATCATATTTCAGCATTTAGACAATACCAGTTACATTGTATGGGGGGGGGGGGGTTGCTATGATAGAAAACCAGAGAACCCAGAGAAAACTCATAAACAACAGGGGAAGAACATACTAAACGGCACACAGACAGGCTCCTGAGTGGGGAATCAACCCAGCTACTTCTTGCTGCGAGACTAGTGTCGCCATTGCGCCACCACGCCACCCAAACCTTCATATTAGTGGAGCAGAATTTGTAAGCACCGCTTAAACTAGAAAACGTATTGACGGCTACATTTTACTTCACTTCATACACAATGTATGCGAAGCAAAAAAACAGAGACTACCAATATTATTATCAGTTGACCAGAAAAGTTACAATAGATACTTATTCAAAGCAAGTTGTAATGTGTTATAATATATCACAATGTTAATAGAGACTATTTGGAAATGAGAATTCTCCCAGATGGGAAATTCATATGTATTTCAAGCAAATTTGATAAGTGCAAATAAATTACTTCAATATATACCCTGGAGGCTGCTCGACACACTGGATAAAACTTTTAAGTTCAACAAAACGAACGACTCGTCCTGTTAAATCCGAGAAATGTTTATGCAATACAGCATGTATTATTCATTAGTGTGTTCCATGAACTAAAGAAGCAATTCGAACGTGCAAAATTAACTGCACGTCCAAAATACTCGACCACCAATCGGCCATGGCATGTCAAATGTTAAGATGAGGAACCCTGCATCACGTCTTTTTTAAATCAGTTGGACATATTGAATGAACAGAGAGTTACTTGTTAACATGCTGCCTCTCAAATTCACACAGGAAAGGTGCTGTATGATCATAATCCACACTGATGAATGGATCGAGAAACAATATACAAAGTTTGTGTAGGTGTACTCTTGTTACATATCATGAGACACCAGAGTGTCTGCTTATTGCCCATTGACCTTTACCCATAGGTCCTGATGACAACAGAGGGAAATGATTCAGAAGGTGAATGTTTTCTCTAGTAGAGCTGCAAGCTGTGAAAGCCATTTTACACAATGGCAATTTTACGTACTATAATATTTCGGGCCCTAAGAGCCCTCACCTGTTAGCTCCTGCCGAGTGCTTGGGGGCCTTCAGACTTCAATTGTAATCTATGAAGGCTAAGCTAAGGTACTTATATGCAATAGTTAAACGTAAACTATTTTAAGATATGGACAATGACATTCAGATTTTCTTTTAAAGCAACGTAATCATTTTACACAATCTATTAATAGGCCATATTATCCATGCATTTTCGATCTTTGCCTGGAAACAAAACCTTCTGATACGAAGCCTTCCACTTAATATCGGCCATGATTAAATGTGGCAGAAGGTAGGACGTTTCCAATTTTAAGCAGCATTTGTCCTTGGCTCTTGTCGGTGGTAATTCCAAAACTAAGACGAATTGAAAATATTTTTTCGTGTCGAAAATAGAAATATGTTTTCAGTTGGAGCCAGAGGAATCCGAGGGATAAGGAGCTTTTTCTAGTGAGGTCCACTTGCAACCATGGTTTTGATTATGTGATTGTTCCTTGACCAGAGGATATAGAGTGTTCCATTGCAAGTGTCCATTGCTTGAATAGAAATTCCGAGGGAGAAAAATGCAGGAGCCAACCTTCAATTTGAGCAAGTGAGGTGGAAATCCAGAAGGATTGAGCCGCTTGATAAAATCATGGTCCACTATATCTGAGCTTTTGTAGACTTTCTTCACCAGGAAAATGGTTAATCATCATTGAATTGGTCAAATCAACAGTGCTGTTTGTTGGAGCAATGATGGCATGATTTGCAAGGCATGTAGCATCATTGACGTTGTCCTTTAGACCATAGAAGAAGAAATCACAGAGATCGCTGAGGTTCTCAGATGGAAGAAGGTGTAAATACCACTTGTTTTGAAGTGTAAAAACTGCGCGTTTTTATTTGTGTGAACACGTAAAGTCTTAGAAGTTGGGAAATGACATAATCGAATATTGCTGTAAATCTTCGATATCTCCATAAAATTCCAAGATTGTCGGAAAATTCAGAGATTGCCATCAATGTCAAGTTTTCACTATTTGTATGTTCATCAAACTGAAAGAATACGACATTTGGGATACGCATTTATAACAATGCATCCCTGGATACCCGTCGCCTTTTGGACGCCAAAACGCCTTTTGGCGTCCTCTGGTCTAACACCGTTTTAAGACTAGGCTCTAAAGAAAGCTGTCTCTGGTGTGGACCAATCAGTTTCAAGGACAATGCATATATTATCAGACTATATTTTTATGTTTGCATTCTGACCACAAGTATTGTGGTCAATGCAGACATGATTCCTTGTAAAAGGTTTCAGTTTGGTGTTCTAACATCTTAACACCTAAAAAAAAAAATTCGTCTCCCCCCTCCTCTTTTCAGAATATAGATGGACTAGTCCTGGGTAAACTGCCAAATCGTTGCGCGTGGCGCTAACGTTTTTTATAAATAAATAAATGCGCCGTTTAAAAATAAATGTATGCGAACCAACACACCTGAAGACGACCGTTTGAGTTATGGTCGAAACGTCGTGAGAATTTTTTTATTGTTTTATATATATTTTATTATTTTGTTGTTTCTCTTCAACGTGACTTTACCGAAAAAACTAAGAATATGAATTACTGCAGTCACGAAAGCTTTAAATAAAAATTTAAATCTTAACACCTGTTTATTGCCAGAAAAAAGCGGGAAAACCTATTCTCATATTTTTGTACTGGCAAAGGAGGTCCCATGATGTAATTTTTTTTTTATAAATGTTTAAATGTATTTGTTCTTACCTTGTCTACTTCCTTGCTGTGCTTAAGTGATTTGACCTTTAAACAAAAACTCACTGACTTTCTACTACGTTGCACAGTCGAAACATCACCATACGAAAATATGTTCAGTTACTGTATGTTGGAAGAGGTCATAAATGGCATTTCCATGTCGTAAATCGATCAATGGTGTCCTCATACTGTTTACATCTCGTAAACGTGTGTCGCATTACACACGGATTTGTAAACCAGATGTAATGTTTCCCAAAAATTTGTATCAACATCTTTTTTTTTAAGATTACACACACAGTTGCTTGCCACAAATGAACCACAATACCTTGCTGATCTCGTCAAGGAGCATAAACCATCACGCGAACTGCAGTCATCCTCTCAGTGGCTTTTGGCTCGTCATCGAACAAAGACGTTCACTGCATCACAGGCTTTTAGATGTGCTAATGTGGATGTCTGGAACGCTCTTACGATATTAGGAAACCACTGCAGCTATGCACTTTACATCTAGATTGAAAAGTAATTTCTTAAAAAAACTGCTTTTTGTGTTAAATTGTTGTCCTTCCCCCTCATCTCCGATTAGCATGGTTGGCTATGTATGGTGCGAAATAAGTTAAATCTATATGTACATGCATACGTAAGGATAAACCAAAGGCCCTCTTGAAAGGTTCACTAGAACTTTTTTCTAGTGGAGGCCTTTCTGCCAGCAGTGGCATGAGCGAGCAATTAATTGCAGGACTGCATCTTTTGACTCGTCCCAGATGTAGATTGTTGTATCCTACGTGGCACGTGGTGCAGTGCTTGGAGGGCTGCGGAGGAGAGCGGCGGACGCGCAAGGTGCTCTGCGTGGACAAGCAGGACGGACGAACCTTGCGACCCTCCCACTGCCAGTCCCTGCTGTCCCAACCGCCCGACTCCATGTCCTGCAACACCCCGCCGTGCCTTGCCTGGGACGCTGGACAATGGGGTCCCGTAAGTGGCAGTGACTCGGCCCATTAGGGCGTGCAGAGAGTGAGTGGATTGACGCTGCATAGCACAAGCCGCTCGGGGAATTCGCGAAGATAATTTCAACAATATGGTTGTGAAATGCGGTCATGGAATTGGAATATTTTGGGCAGTTTTTTGCAGGAATTACCATTTGTTTTGTGTGGCAGCTCATGGCTCACTCCCTCTTTTAATTGGAGGTGATGACTAGAGTGAATGTTTGACATCCATTTTCATCTACTTGTATTGACAATGTCGGTGCATGGTTAAAGGCTGTTGAGTAACAATGCAATAGTTGCCAGAGAGGAATTAAACAACGAGGTGTAAGTGCTTGGACTACTCAACAAGAGACGATGCTTTCCACAACAACCCACAACTGCATGAGACAATATAGTGCATTTTAATTGGTTTCTATTCCAAACTTTGTTGGTTTCTTGAGAGTAATTGTTCGTATTGTTTAGAACTTGACCATGAGGAGCTAGTCAAAGCTGAAGATGAGGGTATAAATTCGTTATTTCTTCCTAAATTTAAAACAGATTATACTGGTATACATTGATAAAATGAAACGTACCGGCATACAAACACCACTGTCCCTGGTCGTCTCACAATCAGGGGAAGAGTGTTAAAGGACATCCACAACTCTGGAGCGTCACCATGTGTAAAGGGGGAACCATGCAAAAACTAAAGGGGGCTGAGCCTTCAGAAGGTGGGAATCAGCCCCCCTCAGCCCACACATTATGGAGGTGGATATCCATTATTACACAAAAACAACTTCTTTGGTTCTTTCGGTAAAGTCACGTAGAATGATAATAAAATAATACATTGATAAAATAAAATAACACAATAATATTCTCACGACGTTTCGGCCACAACACAAGCGGCCTTCATCAGGTGAAGGGGGGCGAGACTGTCTGGTAGGACAGCGCTGGAGTGAAAGAGCCACGTTCAGATACGGCCTTTTAAGCTGTGTGAGAGGAACAAAGCGCCTTGACAAAGGAATTATTTTGTTTAACCAGGTTAGAACTGAAGTGACCAGGATAATCCCATTATGTATCTATGTTGAACTTATTTTGCACCGTAAAGAAGCCAACCGTGCTAATCTCATGAGCAAGAGTGACTTGAGGCATTTGTCTGCCAGTTGCGGGTGATACTTGCCATGTATAACCCCGGTTGAGTAATTTGTGGCTACATTTCAAAGTTGGCTAATTTTGACCCTGGCTCCAGCACACAATGGCGTCGTCTTGCGTATGTTCGCTGCAGGGGCCAGACACAAATATGATGGACGACAATCGTGAGTGAATGCGTGCGTGTGGAGAAATTAACAACGGAGTGATGGGTTCCTGTGGTCTCCGTTCCGTGGCGGCAGTGCTCACGTGCGTGTGGGGGAGGGACGCAGCGGCGCCCCGTTCTTTGCCCCAAGCCGGGACGATGCTACAAGAAAATGAAACCTGACAGCAGCCGCGCTTGCAACCTGCAGGCCTGCGCCGAATGGCTGAGCGGACCATGGGGCGAGGTGAGGGAATTGACAATTGCAAATCTGTTATCTTATAATGTACGCAAACATATGCACAAAGCTTCTTTGTCAATCACTAATTATGCTCTCTTTAATGTTTTGGTTTAATTCCAGGTGCCTGCAAGTTTAGTGTATATTGCTGATTTTATCCAAATTTGTAGCATAATCTTGGATTTATATTGCAAACAGATTTGATAATTAACTTTTTGTATTCTTCCTGTATTCAAATTGTGCCATCAGTCTCATGAGACAGTGTCCAATCGGAACTCTTGCAGAGCCATGTATCACTCCCCGTACGTTAGAGAGTGGTCCATGGGGATATATATATATCACACAACCGCGGCACTTTTGACATCCCTTAAAGTGACATTTTTAATCAACACTCAAGGAGTTGCACTTCCCACATGCCATGCTCCAAAAAAGTGCTTGTCTCACAGTAGTCAAGCTAATATTGTTTTAATTCTTAGAGCTGGAATTCGGCCAAATTGCGTAGAAAACCGAATTGAATGTGATGGGATTTTCTTGTTGCATTAAAGGGTCGAGTCCATCAACTTCGCTTACACTTGAGAACCTAGTTGATCACAGGCAGGTTACCCAGATCTGAACCCAGAATCTCAGTGGTGCCAGCTCAGGCCGCTGAACTCTGATCCAGCAAGCCACGACAGTTTACAAGTGTATTACAAAAAAACGCAAACGTGTGATAATTTTAAAAATTGCTGCGGCACATGTTAACGCATCAACAAAAAAACTAATTCATAAAATGCCACGCCAACAAGGGCATTGTACAGATCACTTTGAGTCCCGCACACACACAGCACAGACAGCCAGCGCATCTGTAAAGCATCTCAGGCACCTCTTTAACCTCGCTGACACATCGCTTCTCAATGTCCCACCCCACAACTACCCCCTCCCAACCCCGTGTTCTCACAGTGTTCGGCAGCCTGTGGGGGAGGCGTTCAGAGGCGGCTCGTGAAATGCGTAAATGCCACAACGCGCAGAGCAGAGGACAACACGACCCTGTGTGAGCACGTGCCACGGCCGGACAATGCTCAGAAATGCAATATCCATGAGTGTGAGACTCATGACCCAAGTAAGTGTAGGCAAGGCTTAACCCCACTCACCTCTGCATTCCTATATCCTCTTAAGCGTTTGGTGTGCTGCAACACTCTTAGAGAAATTGATTTGATTAAAATAAGTTAGGAATTCTATTCTTGCACGAATCACAATTCTCCAGGCTGTGCGCTACAAATGCCAGTGATCGTTGTATCTTCAAGTAATGGTCTGCAGAAAAGCTTTGGAAAATAACCGTAGATGCATCATCACTCTGGCACTCGCATGCAGAAAATGATTAGGTAATGCATAAAAAAATGAAAAATATAAGTTATCAACACTGCTACATTGGACTTGAGGATTGATATACCATGAGCTATATGGTGTGCCTGACCATCCAAAATCAAGCCTACGTGTTAAACTACATTAATTAGATTTCAATTATCATAACTACAAAAACTAGAATTGTATCTACCACTTGGTTGTTCATTGTAAAACCACTCCCTTTGTTTTTATATTATGTATCTTATAACCTGCCGACACACTTAATATTATTTTAGATTTGCTTCTTTCTCGAGTTAAACTAAACTTTGCATTTACATTAGAAGTGGTGCATGAGCGTGGATTTGTTATACTGCCAATTCCAGTTTACATACACCTTATAAATCTGCAGTTTGGCTGGTAAGACAGCTGGTAAAGTATATCAGAATATATATATTTTGGGTGGAGGTCAGGATTGGGGGAATCGTGCAGTTGCCTTTCTAAAATGCCATCTAAGAAGCATGGATTGGACGTATGTAAACATTAGATGGCACTGCCTCTATTGGAAATGAAAAACTAATTTTGAAAGCCTGCAAGACCCAGGCAGCTATGTACAGTGCCGAGAATGTGAACCCCTTCGGATTTTCACATATTTTACATATTTCAAACCTAAAATGTTATTAGATTTTGATTTAAAGCTTTCGTGACTGCAGTGATTCATATTCTTGGTTCTTTCGGTAAAGTCACGTTGAAGGGAAACAATAAAATAATAAAATATATATAAAACAATAAAATTTTCACGCCGTTTCGACTGCAACACAAGCAGTCATAATAAGGTGTGAAAACCAACGGCAAGAACAGTTGAAATGTTCTTTATTGTTTCCCTTCAACGTGACTTTACCGAAAGAACCAAGAATATGTTATTAGATCTTAATCTAAGTCCTAAAAATATGTAAAGATAACCGGATTAAGCAAAGGACACAAAACATGATACTCTTTCAACGTGTGTTTATCCTCAAATTATTCTACATTCAATAAGCATGTGTAAAAAAGTAGGTGAACCTTTAGATTTAGTCACTGGTGACACTCCCTTAAGCAGCAAAGACTGCAACTCAGAATTTCCTTTAACCGTTAGACAGTCTCTCGCATCGGATTTGAGGAATTTTGGCCCATTCCTCCTGACAGAACTCCTTCAGCTCGGTGACATTTGAGGGTTGCCTTGCATGGACAGTTCGATTCAGGTCCTGCCACAACATTGTATATGGGGTTTAGGTCCGGACTTTGACTAGGCCATTGTAAAACGCAAATTTCATTTCTTCTTATGCAGATCTATTTGTATGTTTAGGATCATTGTCTTGCTGCAAGACCCCCTTTCGGTTCAGCTTCAGCTCACGGACGGATGACCTGACATTCTCGTCTATAATCTTCTGATACAATGCAGAATTAATGGTTGTGTCAATGATGGCAAGCCATCCAGGTCCTGAGGCAGCACAGGAGCCCCAAACCATCACATTCACACCGCCATGCTTGACGGTTGGGATGAGGTTCTTCTGTTCAAAAGCAGTGTTTGGTTTTCGCCAAACATAACGTTTCTCATTGAAGCCAAAAAGTTCTACATTTGACTGGTTTGTCCAGAGAATAGTTTCAGAAGTTTTGTGGATCATCTAATGTGCTATTTGTTGAACTTCAGAAAAGCAGCAATGTTATTTTTGTAGAGCAATTGTTTTCTCCTTGCTATCCTTCCATGAACACCCTTCTTATTCAGTATTTTTCTGATAGTTGAGTCATGAACACTCAAATTAGCCAAGGCGAGAGTGGCCTGTAGATCCTTGGATGTTTCTCTGGGGTTCTTTGTGACTTCCTTGATCATTTTCTGGTTTGTTCTTGGAAAAATGTTTTTAGAACAACTGCTCCGGGGTAGAGTGACTGTGGTCTTGAACTTTCACTATTTGTAGACTTTCTTACAGTGGTTTGGTGGAGCCCCAAATCCTTATAAATGGCTTTGTAACTCTTTCCGGACTAAAGCGCCCTGGAAAGGACACTACATATATCCGAAATAGAATATAATAGATTAATTCTAGATTTGAAGCTTTCGTGACTGCAAGGATCCATACTCTTTGGTTCTATTCGGTAAAGTCACGTAGGTAAAAAAATAACAAAAATCACGACGTTTCAGCCACAACACAAGTGGCCTTCATCAGGTGAAGGGACCGGACTGTTTCCTCCCACACAGCTTAAAGGACGCGACCTGGGCTTGGCTGTCTTCACTCCAACGCTGTCCTCTGGACAGTCCAGTCCCTTCACCTGATGAAGGCCACTTGTGTTGTGGCCGAAAAGTCGTGACTTTTGTTATTTTATTTTTACCTACGTGACTTTACCGAATAGAACCAAAGAATAGGTGAACATCAATAACTCCTTTTCTGAGTTCCTCAGAGATTTATTTTGATCGTTGCACGACTTGTTTCCACACGCACCTTCATGGTGAAGACCAAACTCACGAAGTTTCTGATCTTTATAGAGGGTGGGGCCTCCCAAACTCACCTCTGAAGATCTACCTAAATATTTAAACACCTGATTCTAATCATTCCCTTAATTGAGCTAATTAAACCAGGGGTTCGCTTACTTTTTCACATACCCTGAACCTTAATTACTCTTTGTTTGTTAATTCATATATCATTTTGTTTCAAACAACACGGAATTGGTTAATATAAATCCTATTGCATATTTAAGAAAAACACGGTTTTGATTCAAGAACGCTATCATGGTAAAAATATGGAATTTCCATAATTATCATTTGGGTTCACAAACTTTTTTTTTGGCACTGTATATATGCATATTGAAGTTCTTTCAAACCACATGTAGCCAACCGTGCTAATTGGAGCTTTCAGTGTGATATATAAATCTACACTAATGTTGACAACCATTTGGTGCTGTTAGTTGTGCAAGAAAGAAAGGCCTTGACTTGCGTGCACACAACAAAGGAAAATTAAAATGCCCTTGCCTTGATATATTCCATTCAATTTCTCTATTAAAAATAAATATACGTTTTTTGCAGCTGCATATACACTTCACTCAAAATATAATTTATATGCCTACATTACACCATTAGACACATCACCCACACATTCTTGGTTTGTTAACTTTATTTAGATAATATTAACTTGGCGTCCTTATGTTACTCAAGAATCACTTTATTTTAAACGTGAAACAGCTGATCATTCATCTTTCAGGGCTCTGCATATCAACCTTCAGTCTCATTAGTGTGTTTTTTCATGAAATGTTTGCCTTGGGCATTTTACAGAATCCTCCAGTTTATAGTATCGTGTGAAAGAGAAAAGTTTCACTGTTTCTTTCAAGATTGATAGCCATTAATGATAGCTGACATCATCAGGAATTATTTTATCCTTTTGAAGGTAAAACTAAGTTGGAACAAGAATTATTCCACTAGCTGTTTTATGTTTTGAAATGATATCTATTGTATAATTGCCATTGCAGATAAATTAAACATGTAACACACCGTGACATAAATCTTGACTTAAAACTTTCGTGACTGCAGGAATTCATATTCTTTGGGTCTTTCGGTAAAGTCCAAAGAACCTATCTACGTAACTTTACCGAAAGACCCAAAGAATATGAACACCGTGACATCTTTCATTACTTTGGGTTCGTAAAGTGGGCTTTAAAGCACACGCACTTACTTTAGTGACATGATGTGTGCGTGGCTTTGTGTGTGTCGGCAGTATATGTGCTCGCTAATAGCACTTTCCTCAACAGTCTGTAAAGGCTATACGAGCGATTTTTGTCTTTGTGGGCAGCATTAGTGCAGTGTTTAGTGCACCTAGCAACCTGTGTTCAATTCCTGGCAACGGCTACCGTCAGTGGCCTAGTCATATCTGAACTGCACCTGGGCCTACTTTAAACTCACAATTCTATGAGTATCTGGTGCAGTGTATCAACATCGCCACTGGGGAGACAAGAGCAGTGGTCTCGGGCACTCCACCCCACTCTTACGAGCCATGTCGACGTTCATAGGTGCTCACTAACAGCAATTACCTACTATAATCACCCAGAAATGTCTGTCCGTCCCGCGCGTGACGTCCCTCCACATGAGGCCCACCCCCCCACCTGACGTCACTCCACATGAGGCCCACCCCCCCTCATTAATATTCATGAGTGGGTGGATTTTTACACTAACGCAGAGGAAGGTCGAGCCGAATTAAATCATTTATTACGCAAAGTCGCTTCAAATATGACGTTTCTTGACAGAAAGTGACGGTAAAAAATAAATCTACGCAGCACAGTGCTAATCCGTGCGTGATGTCACTGCAAAAGAGCCCCCCCCCCCCTTCATTAATAGTAATGTCCACACCCCTCCTCTCATTAATAATCATGAGTGGGTGACGTCACTCCACATGCTACACCCCTTCACAATAACCATGAGGGGGTGACGTCTCTCCACATGCCGCACCCCTCCCCAATAACCATTAGCGGGTGACGTCACTCCACATGGGGTGACGTCACTCCACATGGGGCAACGCCCCCCCCCTCATTAATAATCATGAGCTGAACAATTTTTCCTTTGAATATTTCAGATTTACTGCAATATACACCCGTCCTTGGAGGGGCAAAAAAGCTAGTTGCCCCAATAGTCTGTGGGGGGGAGCGGTAATGTTGTGCTTATCAGACTGCGCTACAAAACCGGCGACCCGAGTTTGATTCCTGCTTATGGCCAACACCAGTGACGATTATCTTAACCGGTCATGGGCCTCCCCTACGTTG